AAGTTAGCTCTTGCTACTGCTCAGATGTTGGTGTTTTCCAGATTCCACCCTTGGCCCCTGCCTTTTGGGAACCTTCCCATCCACAAGCTTTCTCTTGCATGGCTTGGAGATCAGCTCACACTGAGATCACTCCAGAGCTGGATGGACATGGTAGTATATGCTTGTAACTCCACCCATCAGAAGACTGAGATGGGAGAATAGTGAGTTCTAGTCCAGCACAGGTTACATAAGCAAGACTATCTCAAAAAGAAATAAATTAAAATTTAAAAACATCACAAGAGAGCTTGAGTCCCACAGGTATTTGTGCCTAATGGATGTCCCTGGCCCAATGGCCTTTAGCCATCTCATGACGCTTATTCTCAGCCCTAAACCTCCCCATGGACTGGCTCGTTATCAGCCATGATTCCTTTATCAACCATGGGCCCCATCAGGCACAGGTACTGAACATGCCCCTGTGTTTATGCTGAAGCTCTCTTCCTGACCCCTACAGAATAGGTCAGTAAGTACATCTCACCTGATTTCTTACTATCTCTCCATTCTTGTCACCAAGTTTAACTCCCCATCATTTCAAGCTGTGCAGCAATGAAAGACTTCCCCTCTTTTCTTTCTAGTCTAGCCATCCCCAAATTCATACCCTAAGCAGCCAACAGCAAAAGATCTGAAGTGGGTCAGTATTTTCCACAGCCTAAGGCACTCCAGCAGACTCCCCAAGATTCCCCTGTCTAGCAGTGTGATCAGCTGGACTGTAAGTCACTCATTCAGACTCCAATCCAGATCCAATAAACTAGAATCCTCTAAGGCAGTGGCTTGGGAGTCTGCCTTCGCCAATCAATGCAAAGTTGAGAACACTGGCCTAACAAAGTCAAGTGGAAAATCCTTAATGTTTGGTATAAACATGGTCCACCATGCATGTCCCCCTATATTGATGTCACCTCATATAAACCACAGGTCTCAGCTCCAGCACTGTCCTCTCCTCCAGTCCTTAATGGGCCTCCTGTACATTTTTGTGGTCCTGTAGGTGAATCATAATGGCTCCACTCACATGTTCACAGGCCTCCCCTTTCATTGGTGGCTCCACCCACATGCTCACAAGCCTCCCTTCTCATTGGTAGCTCCATCCACTGCTCCATTACTCAGGTCCAGAATAAGGACTTCCAAGATAGTGTTTACAGGTAGCAGGTGACTGGGCAGAGCCCTCACAAACAGATCAGTCCACTGGTCGCTTAATGAATGAGTGCATTATCACAGGGGTGAATTTGTCATCAAGGTAAGCTCTCTAGCATACTTGCCATGTGTCATCCTCTACCATATTATGAGAAAAACAACCCTGTGTGTCTCCATCTCAACTATTTTCAGTCTCCATTTCTTCCTCAAAATTCATGATAAACCTCTCCTCCCTCTGTGAAACTTGCTTGCCAAATGTAAACTTTCCTGGACTTTCCAGACTTTCCACCAATATGCAGAGGTTAGTTCTTCCCCTGAGCCAATATAACGTTTTAGCCAATCACAAGCAGATTGTGAATGTGAGCGTGGGTCATCTGAGCAGAGGGTCAGGGTCCCTGTGTTAGGAGGGAGAAGGCTGCCTGTTCCAAGTGCTTGATTGCTAGAGTTTGGTTGGAGGGCATCCTTCTACAGAAGTAAGTTATACCATACCAAAATAATTCATTGTTTCTGTGTCTTCTGTTGTGACTCTAGTGATCCTTAGAAATCATATTTCTAAGCACATGATGTAGCTAGAAGCCCTCATCAGGCACAAGCACTGTGCTTTCCGACGGACAACATCCACAGCTATGAATATTAAATCCTTTTTATTTAAAAACTATCCAGTCTTGGACATTTTGTTATAGCAATGAATCAGACCAAGATATATGCCCGCTGAGTGATGGGGTAAACAACACCAACTAACACTAGCCGATTGTCTTTCCCAATGTGAAATCTTCACTGGAGTATGCAAAGCTTCTCTAGCTGGAAAGACAGACCTTATCCCCCTGACAGGCTGTAGCTCATTTCCTCAACACAGTTACCTTCTCTAGTGTCAATCCATCCTTCTGGAAATGAGTTTCTCTGAGCTGACTGTGGAGTCCCATTAGTCTTGCCAGGGCAATAGACAAGGCATACCCTTCTCCCTCCCAAGTTTGAAGCAACAAAGATGTAATTTAAGTACATAGTAGAAAGTTTTATTAAAATCAAGAGAAATACAAATAAAGTAAGTCATGGTGACCAAATAGTGGTAACCCTCCCATCTGGCACATGGTAGGTAGCCAAGATCTTCTGGAAATATAGGGCTCAGTCTCCTCTTCCTCCATGAAGGGAGAGCTGCTTCAGAGCCTTCACATACCTCTTGATGAAAGTCTCAGCAAGCTGTGACCTCAGCTTGGTTCAGTTGCACTGGGCAATAACAGATCAGAGTCACCATTTCAGGCCTGGTGATTCATATCAAGACCTCCCAAGATGAGCCTCTTCAGTGTGTCCCTAAACCCCACTCCACATCCAGCCAAAGAAATCAAGGCTGCACACTCTAGAGTTAGAGGCTAGACGCTGACAAAGATTCTTTCCGTAACCAAACTGCAGCCAGCCTCCTCTGAGCCTTGGTTAGCTGGATCAATCTTGGTCTATGAATAGTTTCTAAAACTCCTATACAGTATGCCTGGGACAATTCTTACTATGCCCAGTTGAGCAAACCCAAGATGACCAAAGGATTAGCTATCTTTTCTAGCCAACACCTTCTGAAGACAACTTGTACCCCACATCTATAGGAAGGAAGGGGTCCCACTTCCAGAAGCTTGTTACAAACCTGGATTACATTCCATTTGGGCCAGAGACCACACCCTCTTCACATTGCTTTGAGTGTATGTGTGTGTGTGTGTGAGTGTGTGTGTGTGTGTGTGTGTGTGTGTGTGTGTGTACTGGGGTCTAAACTCAGAGCCTGAGTGCTGTCCTTTAGCTTTTTCCACTTAAGACTTGAGCCACAGCTCCACTTCTGGCATTTTTGCTGGCTAATTGGAAATAAGTCTCAGACTTTCCCACCTGGGCTTTGAACCATGATCTTTAGGCCTCAGCCTCCTGAGTAGCTAGGATTACAGATGTGAGCAACCAATGCTTAGCCCAATTACTTTCTGGTGATTTTTATGCTTCCTTGACTCTTCTGAGTCCTTCACTCACCTCATCCCAATTCTCCCTCTCCCTGTAAAAATGCCCTGTACCCAAAGTACATGCAAGTTAGAGTTCCATTCATTTCATCCTGGACTCCACAGGATCACAATGTTACTACTGAATACAATCTGTCCCGACCCCTTCTTTATCTGACAGCACATGTAGTCCAACTGAGAAAGATAAAAAAAAGGAACCCACTTCTTTCTGGGGCACTGGGACAGAAGGTAAACAGTATTAGAGCACTGTTGAGTACTGTTAAGACACTGTTAATGTTAATGATAAGCCTTTACATAGGTGTCTCTTTTAATGTTTACTTTTTCCTTCAATGCGCTAAGATGTTGGGATCCAGGTCAATTTGACTCGCTAATTGACAGCCATTAAACTCATTCTTGATTCCATGACCGCCTTGAACAAAGGACCAACAGACAAGCAGCCAACTGGACTGCTCTGGTGCCAGCTCCACTTGCTAAGGACACTCCACGGGTGCCTTGAGGAAGCTAGATGCAACCTAAAGCACAAAGCTGCGACTATTTCAAACAGCTTGCAGAAGACTTTTGCCATCCAAAGCCTTGTTGAACTCTAGATGATCCTGAAGCCATTTCCACCCACACCAGGGGGAAACCACTTCCCCTAGTGGTCTAACAGAAGGCCTGAGACTGATACAAATACAATCCTTAATTTGCATAAGAGAATGCTGATTGGTGCAAGCATTATCTCTCATGAGGGACTAAGATGGGTGCAAATAAACAATCCTTTATTTGCATGAAAGTGTGCTAAGATTGGTGCAAGCAGCGTTCTTCATTGTATGTAGGATTATTCCATGATTGGTGCAAACACAGTCCATCAACTGTCATGATTGGTACAGGCCAATCATGTGGCCCCATTGCCACACCCTCTTTCTGTCTATATAAGCAAGCCATGCAGGTCAACTTAAATCTAATAAATGTCTCTATAAAGTCGTTTTTCTTACCTATTTTTAATTTTTATCATTAGTAGAGTGGGTTTAGCTAGGTACATAAAGAAGGACAAGATGTTAACAGCTGACATCTTGGGGCATATGGAGTTCCAGAGAGTAACTACATATGAAAGAAATAATAGGGATCAGAGGTGGTAGATAATGAGGGTTGTGCAAAACTGAAGATGAGAAACTGCAGTCCTTGGCTGCTCGCAGAGTTCCAGGGACCTGCTGAAGGGCCCAGTTCTCAAACACTCTAGACTGAAAGCTTTAACACTCACCATGGTTGAGCTACAAATACTGGTACCCAAGTCCTGTAGGAGAGTTACAACACCAGAAGGCACTGCCCGTGCTGTCTTCTACCACTGCTCACTGCTGCCAAGTTTTAAAAACCAGAGCATGAAGCCTCCAGCCGCAGCAACCAAAGCCATAAGCCTCTGGCTTCTAAAGTCTAAAACAGTAGATAGGCCTCTAGCCCTCAGGGTTTGGAGCTGTGAGCCTCGAAGCTTTAGGCATTCAGAAACCAGGACTGTCAGCATGGGAAGATCTTCTCTTTACTTACTCATGATTCCTAAGTAAGTAGAGCAAAAGGACCCCAGCAAGCTGACTGGTAATATAATCTGTCAGATAAAGGGAGATTTTGCTCAAAGGTAGAGTTGCTAAACTTGGAATAGAAATTTGCTTCTTTCTGTCTTTGCTTCATATCTACACCCTATGTCAACATTAGAGTCCAAGTAAAGCTGTACCCTCACCCCACTGCTCGACTTGCATGGCCACGGTCATAGAGACACACAAGATGCAGTCCAGCCCAGCAGAACCAACACAGGGTCTCCCCATGGACCTCCTCCTGACCTCAGGGTCCCCACATGGACCTCTTCAGACATGCCCTCACCTCTCATTTCTGTTGTTGAAGATCCATTAGACCAGGCCTTCCACTTGTTCTTGTACTTGCTGATCTCCTGCACTTTGCAGACATACTGTCCTTGATCCGATGGCCGAAGGGTCAGGACAGATAGCCGGTAGAGTGCTCCCCGTCGCTCCTCCAGCAGGCGCAGTCTCTGCCGATTGGCACTACGACTAAAGTTCCCATAATATTGCACCACCTGGAGCTTGGTCATCTTCACCATCAAGGTCTCTTGGGAGTCAGAGCGTGCAAAGAGCCAGCGCACAGCCAGGAGGCTGTCCTTGCGCCTCTTCTGGGAGACGTGGCAGAGCAGAGTGGCATTTTCTCCTTCTAGGTAGTCAACCACGGGCCCTGGGGACACGGTAACGTTGAGAGCCCCGCAGACCTCTGCAAAGAAAAAGAGGGAGAGAAAATAATGAATAAAGGCCCCAGCTTACACTTGTGCAGAGAGCCCAACCAGGAGCCACAGAGATGTGCTGGCGCTGGTGGTGTCCATGCTCCTGGGATAGCCAGCAAGGTAGTGATCCATTTTCATGATGGTGAGAAGAAGAGGTTCTTTTAGGGGTATCTGCTGTCGGTTCCCACATTCTCACTTACACATGGTTCTTCCTTTCACGTAGAATGGCAAACACGGACCACTTGGGAAAATGCATTTCTTGAATATTTTTAGTCACTGACATTTAACATTCGGAAGACTGGGATTTGGGGACTCTTGAAAATGTCTTCCCCTCATCTTTCCCACTACTCCCAAGGCTTGTTTTTAAAATACCCATGGGGTCATGCACCAGTTGATGGCTTATGCCTGTATCTTAGCTACTTAGGAGACTGAGATCTGAGGGTCAACGGTTCAAAGCCAGCCAGGGCAGGAAAGTCTATGAGACTCTTATCTCCAGTTAATCACCAAAAAGCTTTAAGTGGAGCTTGTATCTAAAGTGATAGAGCACTAGCTTTGAGCATAAAAGCTTAGGGATAGCATGAGGGCCCTGAGTTCAAGCCCCAGGACAAGTACATACACACACAAAAAGTGCCCATGGTCAGAGCTGCCCTGTGGAAGGACAAATCTGCCCTTTAAGATAACTTGGCCTGTCATTCTTCCTCCAGCACTGCTGTTTTAGCTCTAACCAGAGTGCACACTCAGTAAGTCATAGGGGATGTTAACTAGTAGCAGTGTTTCCTAAGTGTTTTCCTTAGAATCCAGATCTATATTTTCAGAGTTGAAGTACAAATTATAACAAAGAATGAATGAGTCTCAGGAACAAAAGATGTCCCCAAATGTGCTTTTTTTGTTCAAGGTTAGCACTTTACCACTTGAGCAAGAACTCTACTTGCAGGTTTTTTGATGATTATTTGGACATAAGAGTCTCAGAGACTTTCTACCCAGGCTGGCATTGACCTGCTGACCCTCAGATCTCAGCCTCTTGAGTAGAAAACCTAAAGGGGACAAGATTGTGGACAGGTCAGGTGCACTCCCGGGCAGGAAACTAGACATACTATCTTAAAAATAACCAATGAAACACAGGGCTCAACTCATAGAACATCTGCTTAGCAACTGCCAGGCCATGAGTTCAAAACCCAATATTGTCAAAACAAACAAATATACTAAATAACTAGAAAGTTATGATTTGGGGGTCAATTTTCTTTCTCGTCTCTTAGAAGCCAAATGCCAGTCCATATTCTACAATAATCCAAGAACCTTAACTTAATCACATCCATAAAGTACCTTCTTCCACTAAAGATAATACTCACAAGGGCTTAGGCCAGGATGGCTTTGGGGGTCATTATTTAACACCCCTACACATGACTTCGGCTTAGCCTTTGGTTACCTTTTAGAGAGAGTGGGGATAAACTCCGGAGAAAAGGCTAAAGAAGCTCAACAGGACCCATTAGGCCTGCGTTCCTCCCTGTCAGCCGGGGAGATACCTGTGTGGGAAGTTTGGAAGAATAATCCTGTCTGAGTCCTGGGAAGTGGTGACTTCTACTTCATATGACAAAAGACACTTCATATAAGTGATACAGAAAAAGTCTCAGGTATCCTGAAGCACACTGCAGGCTGATGCCCAGCTCCTTTAGTGACCGTCCTAGTGTTGGCAGACAGGCACCAGTGGCTCACATCTATAATCCTAGCTGCTCAGGAGGCAGAGATCTGAAGATCAAAGTCAGAAGCCAGCTGGGACAGAAAAATCCACTAACTCTTATCTCCAATAAAGTAGTAAAAATAAATAAATAAAATAGCTGGAAGTGGAATTGTAGCTCCAGTAGTAAAGCACTAGAACAAAATAAACTCAGGGTCTGGGAGAGCACCCAAGCCTTGAGTTCAAGCCCTACAACAGGGAAGGGAGGGAGGGAGGGAGAAATGGACAAAGAGGGACTGTCCAGTCCCATCCCTGCCTCTCTCCCACCTTGGTGTGCCTCTTGCCCTAGGCCCTGCTAAACAGCTGACTGCTGAAGCCTAGCTGATGTGTACTTGTCTCTTCTCATGGCAGAAGCTCCCTATGTGCAGGGCAGCAGCTGGGACCCCAGGCTGACCCCACCCCACCCCAACAAGCACTGGAGGCGAGAGCAGAGAGACACAGCAGCTGCCTTCCAGACTCCAAAGCCAAGCCTACCCCAACCCCATGGCTCCCCACAGCAGGAGCCCAGGCAAGCTGGGAAGGCAGGAAATGGAGACAATATGGGTGAGATGACAACACAGCCCCGACCCCACTCCAGGCTCCCCTCTGGTTAATGCAGCAATGAAGGGATTATTTATAGTGACTGAAACCAGGAGAGTGTGCCAAGTGCTCCGGTCCTCATGAGAGGCCAGATTCCATCCTGGAAACAAACTAGTAACCCTTCCATTCCTGCAGCCCAGGCTCCATCAGCAGTTCCCAGGAAAAGGCTTGGGCTGAGTTAGCTCCCCTAGGCAACGTGCTGCTTTTCCTTTTGGCAGCTCACCTCTCTGCCATTATTTTGACCTTTGTGGGTCTCCAAATGGCCCCGCATCTGTTTCTTCCACCAACATGCAAAGATCTTTGTTTTGGGCTGAGCTGTGACTCATATCCTCATCTCTGATATCTAAGGATAGGACCATGCTGGGGGTCTTTATAGGGGTCATTACTTAAAATGAGGTCATCAGGGTGGATCCCCTCTAACATGATTGGTTTCCAAAGAGGAAGAGGAGCTGAGGGTCCTGACACACAGAAGAGAACACTATGCAGGGAGGAGGGGAGGAAAGGATCTGCCAGCCAAGGAGGGAAGGCTCAGGAGAAACTACCCTGGCACCTTGACCTTAAGCTTCTACCTTCCAGACTGGTGGTTTAGGTCCCCAATAGGTGAAGTTTTTTGGCTTATTTCCCAACATGCTTTTGTGTTGTTGCTGTTTTGAGGGGGGGTTGTATGTGTGTTGTGTGCCAGTACTGGGGCTTGAACTTGGGACCCGTATTTTTGCTTAGCTATTTTTGATCAAAGCTGGCTATCTACCACTTGAGCCACAGCTCCACTACTGGCTTTTCACTAGCTAATTATACATAAGAATCTCATGGACTTTTCTGCACAGATTGGCTTTGAACGGTGATCCTCAGAACTTAGCCTCCTGAGTAGCTAGGATTACAGGCCTGAGACATGGGTGTCTAGCGGGGGCATATGTTTTAATATCAGCCTAAGAAAACAGACACAGCCCCCTGCCTTCTGCCAGCTGATAGTCACACCCACCTTCAAAATAGGGTAGATGGTGAACTGAGGTGACTGAGTCCTCACCAGTCTGAAAGCTTTGCTGACATCATATACTTAGAGTTGTAGGGTCCCCACTGCAGTCAAGTATGCCCTTTGGCACCACAGGTAGTTTTCTACCTGGCAGAGGTGGAAGCTTGGTGTGTGTGTGTGTGTGTGTGTGTGTGTGTGTGTGTGTGGCCCAGCCAAGAGAGACACAAGTATAGCATATAGCTGTAGAGACAGCCCGGCAAAGGAGCACACAGTAGGATGTTTACTAACAGAGACAGTGGTCATCAGGACCTAGAGACTCTATGGAGAAAACAAAGGAAGGCAGAAAGGTGGGGATCAGGCACAGCTGCATCCAGAGGCCAAACCAGGAAAGTTCCGTGACCAGGGTGTTCAGGCCTTCCCTCATACCTCTGGCAGGACAGTCTGAATGACAGAGCAGGCATGCCCTGCCCCGTAGGCAAAGGGGGCAGGCTGAGCCAGTACCGGAGAGTTGACACTCACCATTCCTCCAGCAGCTAAACTCACTTCCCCTCATAACGGCCCTCACCTTGCCTAAAATTGCTAGAGTTACACAGCCCCAAGGAATTAAGGAAGAGGAGCCCAACCACCATCATACACACACATCCCTCCTCCCCACGCAGAGCCCCAGCTCCTCCAGCCACACCATGGGCCACACATGCTGTGAAGACAGTATCCAAGCCCTTGTAGAAGAGAAAAGACAGATTGCAGGCACTGAATCAGACATTCCATTGCATCGTATCACCATCCTCAAAAAGCGATCCAGGCTTAAAGCCAACCTTGAATCCTAGTGATCAGGAGGCTGGGATCTGAAGGATGAAGGTTCAAAGCCAGCCTAGGCAGAAAATTCCCTGAGACTCTTATCTCCGGATTAACCAGCAAAAAGCTGGAAGTGGAAGTGTGGCTCAAGTGGTAGAGTGTCAGCCTTGAGTGAAAAGCTAACGGATAGTACCTAGACCCTAAATTCAAGCTCCAGTACTACACCAAAACAATAACAAAACAAATAAAAATCTTCACCACCACAACAATAAAAAACATAGCTATTGCTCGGTGCCAGTGGCTCATGCCTATAATCCTGGCTACTCAGGAGTCTGAGATCTGAAGATCATGAGCTATTTGAAGACAGCTCAGGCAGAAAAGTCCATGGACTTCCTATTTCCTATTAACCAGCAAAAAGCCAAAAGTAGAGCTATGGCTCAAGTGGTAGAGCATCAGCCTTCAGTGACAAAGCCAAGTGACAGTGCCCAGGCCCTAAGTTCAAGCTCCACTACTAGCCCCCGCAAAAAAAAAAAAAAAAAAAATCATTATTGCAAGGTGCCAGTGTCTCATCCTGTAATCCTAGCTACTGAGGAGGCTGAGATCTGAGAATCACAGGTTCAAAGTTAGTCCAGGCATTAATGTCCAGTTAAACCTCACAAAGCCAGATGTGAATCAGACAAGTCATCAGAAAATTTAACTATGGTCCAGGGTTTGGGAAAGTCATAGAACAAGCCTGATCTAGACTTTGAGGTCAAAGAAGTGATCAGAAATAATAAAATAAATAGTAGCAGCCAGGAATGACTTTCCTGGAAGAGGGTCCCATCTGTGCAAAAGCCCCGAGGCAGTAGGAAGCCCATGCAGACTACAAATAGAAAATAATCTGTGTCTGTTGGTAAATTTCAACCCACTGTGGCTCAAGTACCCACCTCTGCCTGAATATGGGTCTCAGGAGGGAACCAGGCTAAGCATGAAATGTATGTGCATGCCCCTAGGCCTTCCTCATTCTCTGGAGAGAAGTAACAGGCCATTGAAATTGTGGGTGGAGGTGGAAAGGTTGAGGCTGTTGTCTACCAGCGCTGGGCTAGAACTTGCATGGAACAGGAATGCATTCTCAGAGAGAATCCTTAGCTTCTCCATCTGCAATATGGGTGGTGCCTTTCACGTTGAACACAAAGGTCCCATGAGTAACATCTTTAAAATGTGTGTTTTGTTGTTTGTGCTGATACTAGAACTTGAACTCAGGGTCTTGTGTCCTGCTTGGCTTTGCTCCTCAAGGCTCTTGCACTCGAGCCACACTTCTACCTTAAGTGGGAGGACGCCAGCCTTGAGCAAAAAAAGATAAAGGGAGAGCATGAACCCCTGAGTACAAACCCAGGACTGACACAAAAAATAAAATAAAACCCATAGTCCCAGGAGACTCTGTGAAGAGAGGCCACCAGAGCTGCCCAAGGGTGACTCATATTAAGCCATGACTCAACTTAGCTCTTATGCAGGACAAACATGGCCTGATAGAAGATCACCCATGGCCTCTAGGTCAAGCATGGTCCTAAGCTCTTTAGATAAACTCTCCAGTTTAATCTTCATTTTCTGCTGATTTTCCATTTACAGACAAGAGGACTAAGGCACAGAGAGGCTAAGTAATATGTTCAAGCTCACACAGCACATGGTAGAACTAGTATTTGAATGGAAATTAGGTGATCTGGCTTCAAAGACAACTCCTCTCACCCCTTCTGCATTGTAGCTTGACTTTTAGCAAATACTTGACCTGTCAGTTTTCTTTACTTTAAAATATAAGGTGGAGCTGGATGCTAGTAACCCATGCCTGTAATCCCAGCCACTTAGGACTCTGAGATCTGAGGATCATGGCTCAACCAGCAAAGGACAGGGAAGTCTTATCTTCAATCAACCACCACAAGGCTGGAAATGGAAATGTGACTCAAGTGGTAGAGCTCCAGCTTCAAGTAAAAAAAAAAAAAGAATGAAAAGAAAAAAGGAAAAAAGCTAAAAGGACAGCACCCAGGCCCTGAGTTCAAACCCTGGTATAATAATAATAATAATAATGATAAAGTAAATAAAATGCAATGTGGGATCAAGTGAGCAGGAAGATCTTACTCCCACCAAGAAAGACAGGTAGAAGACAGGTAGAAAAGCCTGGACCTTAAGCAGGTCTGCAGGGTAGATGTGGAGACATCTAGCCTGTGGGCCATATAAAGCTCTCAAAATCATTTGTTACATGGCAAGACTGACACGATTCTGGCTGAAGGCTTATGGTCATTTTCCTGTATTGATCATGTATGGCCTGCAACTGGTGCTGTCAATATCCAAATGACCCTAGGCCAACAACAATAAATAAAAGGTTACACACACAAGCACAATGACCTCAAATTCTAGCTGTCAGGACTGCCAAGGGCTTCTGGAATAACAGATTGCTGTTTACCTTGACAGTAGTCAGGGTCATACCACTTGAACCCTTGCTGATATCCGTGTGGTCAGAGGAAGTATTGACAGAAGGACCCATGTCAGTATACCCAGTGGTTGGGCTTCTGTATGCTGGCCACAAGCTCTGGCCAGACCCTGGGTCTAGCCAATCCCAGTTGTTCCATTCCTAGCCAGGATAGTGACTATCTAGACAGGAGTATTTCCCAGGATGTCTGGAAAGTTCTGCCACAGGTCTGGCCAGGAGGGCCTTACTCCTCAGACTCTGGCCCATGGCAGCCCAAATGCCAGCTCCAGCCAGTATCCCTTGGGAGCTTGGCAAATCAAGTAAGTCTGGGTGTCAGAGTTTCAAAACAAAAGCAACACAGTGGTTCTGAGCAGCCTAGAGCCTGGTTTCTTAGATTCAAATCTCGGCTCAAAACACCAGCTTGCAAACTAAGCAACTTCCAGCAAGTCCAGTTTCCTCATCTACCAAATAATCTGGGAGGAATGATTGACAGCACCGGCCCAATTGACTGAGTCAATGTTTTGTGAAGTATCTGGATCTATAAATATGTTCTTGTCATCATTACTTTGGTTAAATGAGATAATAAACACTTGGCATATGAGAGGCAACCCAGGAAAAGTGACCAGCGGTGTACTGCTGAGTTGAAGTCTGGCCAGCAGGGCCCTCAAAGCGGGGAGCCGGGCCCCACCGGACCTGGGGACACCAAGAGAAGAAACTTGAACCATTTGCTGCCCAAATGGAGTTCTGCTGCCCAAATGCAAGTCAGAGAGGTGGCTCCCGCCAAGTGTGGTGCTGGGGGGGAAAGGGTCTCCCTCCCCCCAGCCAAAGGAGTCTCACCAGTCCCTAGCGGGACAGATCCCCAGCTCTCCACCCAACCACTCCCGGTCTCCTTTTCCCAGCGTCTCCACAGTGAGTTAAGGAGAGCGTCTCCGGCCAGGCACTGGCGGCTCACGCCTGTAATCCACGCCTAACTCAGGAGGCTGGTGAGAGCTGACGATCCAAGTTTGAAGACAAATCCGAGAGACCCTGATCTCCGATTAACCAGCAAAAAGCTGGAGGTGGAGGTGTGGCTCAAGTGGCCCTGTGTGAAAAAGCCAAACAAGAGTGCCAGGGCGAGAGAGATGGGGAGGAGGGAGGGAAGGAGGGAGGGAGGGAGGAGAGCGCACTGTCCCGCGGAACCTGCCCGCCGCCAGCCCAGGGTATCGCGGGCGCCGACCGCAGCCCGGGGCTACCGCCCCCTCTTCAGCCTCCCCGCCACCGCCTGACACTTGGAGGGACACCGGCGCCGCTACCCCGAGAGCACTGTCCCGGGAGCAAGGAGCCAGCTGGGCCGGGGCCCAGGGGCTGCTCCGCGCGCTGCCCGGAGCCTGCGGAGGGAGTGCGCCCCGCGCAGGGGCAGCGCAGCCCGGGCCACCGCGGGCGGCAGGGCCGGGACGACCTGGAGCTCAGGGCCTCCGAGCCAGGCCCGGTCGATCCCGGGCCTCTCGGCCCCCCGCACCCCCCTCCCCCGCCGCGCGCTTACCCGGGGCCGGAGCCTGCGCCAGGAGCGCCGCCAACGCCAGCGCCAGGAGCCGCATCTCCCTGCCGCCGCCTGGCGCTGTGACACCCAGAGGGGAGAGCGCCGCGGCTTTGGCGGTCCTGCGCCGCCGGGCCCGGCCCCTAGCCACGCCCCCGGACACGCCCCCGGCCTAGCCACGCCTCCTAGCCACGCCTGCAGCCCGGCCCGCGTTGGCTTGGCCCCGCCCAAGCCCAGAATACCACGCCCATTGGACCGCCCAGTCCCCCCTCCTTCGCGGCCACTCCCCCAGCCCTCCCCTCTGTCTACCTTGCCCCGCCCATTTGGCCTCACTGGCTCCACCCCCCCCTCTGTCAGGCCCCTCCTCTGTCCTTAGTCTAGGACAGGCCAGGCCAGCCCTGGTCCCCTCAGGGCGATGTCTTCTGGGTCCCCTGTGGCTCATATTGGGCAATGGGCAGTGGCCTTTTGAGCCATTTGCTCAGTGACCTGAGAATGTCCCCTTGACTGCCTGTGCCCCTGTCCCAGATGAGAAAATTGAGACTCCACCAGACAGAGTCTGGATCTTCTGAGTCCCAGAGCAGCCAAGGGGCAGGAAAGCCTTCCTCCTACCCTAAATTTGAAGATGAGAGGGGGACAGGGTAGGAACCCTTGGAAAATTAGTGGAATATGGGACCCTCGGAATATGTGGAAATAATTACCAACAGTTACCATCTAGGGCACCCTTGACCAACCTGAGCTAAGTTGGCTTGCAGGAGTTAATGTATCCTTCCACTGTGAGGTCCCGGGACAGCTCCTTAATCTCCACCTGCTTCTGTTTCTCCATCTGTACAATTTGACAATAGGCCCATTCCTCCTAGGCTCAGATTTGAAGATGGCTGTTTGAAGCCAATGTGAGCAGAAAAGTCCACGAAGACTCTTATCTCAACCAAAAACACAGAAGTACAGTTGTGGCTCACATGGTTGAGTGCTAGTCTTAAGTGAACAAGCTCAGGGATAGTGCCCAGGTTCTGAGTTCAAGCCACAGAACCAACACAGAGACAAATAGAAGACCAAGAAGATCAAGTGAAAGGCTGGTACCCGACAGGTGACATCTTCACATCAGCTTTCATGACCACTGCCATTATTATAGACTGGAGCACAAACAAGGGGAGAGGAAGAGACAGACCTAAGTCACACCACCAGCTAGCAGTAACAAAGCCACCTAGTCCAGGATACTTCGAGCTAAGGCTTGGTTTCTTCATCAGGGCTCCAAGCTTGATTGCTAGGCTTGACTGTTATGTCCAGTACATCTCTAAGCAATAAATTTTGTGTGTGGGATCTTTGTGGAGTTTCGTAGAAGTAGATCAGTAGAGTGGGGGAGGGCATATTTGAGGAGGAGGAGGAGGAGCAGCAGCAGCAGCAGCACCCAGTCTTATCTCATTCTCTAGAGGACATTAGAGGGGTGGAGAGATCCAGGGTGCTGAGTCTCAGGGTGAGCCTTATGACCCACCCAGGTCCCATTTTACAGACTGGGAAACTGAGGCTCCCAGAGGACTGGAGGCCCAGGGTTCTGTGGTTTACCGAGTGAACTGAAAAATGTATACCCTGATTGCTGTCATCAAAGTCTTCTCTGATCCTTGTACATTTCTAAATCATCAGTCTCTCAGAAGCAAGCAGACATTCCACACAGCCACCATTTGGGCCCTGCTTCTCTCTGCCTGAACTGATGCTTGCTGAAGGTTTGGAGTTGTTCAAGTGCTTTTCTTGCAGCTCTGTGCTATGTATAATATTGTGTTCTTCTCAGCCGGTTGCTCTGTCAGTGCTTTTCAATTTCCCAAATGATGTAGCACAACATCTTGGCAAGACAGTGTCTAGGAAACACATTTCTGCCCCGTGGGAAACATGGCCAAAGACCCGGATGAGACTCGGTGTTTCAGTCCTTCTGGACCACACTGGCACAAACTGTCCTGACTTTTGCCCTCTCCCCTGCAGCTTTCTCACTCACTATACTCACAAGCTTGAGGTCATTTGAAGAATCTCTACTGTCTTGTTCTATCAGGTCCAACTTTGTTCTGAATTAAAACAGCAATACCCAATTATTTTAAATTAAACAGGAATATCCAATTATTTTAACTTAAAAAGCTGAGCAACAGTGGCTCACATTTATAATCCTAGCTACTCAGGAGGCTGAGATCTGAGGACTGTGGTTTGAAGCCAGCCCAGGCAGGAAAGTCTGTGAGACTCTTATCCCCAATTAATCACCAAAAGCCAGAAATGGAGCTGTGGTTCAAATGGTAGAGTACTAGCCTTGAACAAAAAAGCTCAGAGACAGTGCTCAGGCCTTGAGTTCAAACCTCAGGATGAGCACAAACAACAACAACAAAATTACCTTTCCTAAAAACCCCTGTCTGGGCTTTTTGTATGGGTATTGAGATCATTCTGAAGTTGGTCTAGATCTCTATGGACATGAAATATCCAGCCACTCCTATGAGTGTCATGGATCAGAATCTAGTTTCTCAAAATAAGTTCCTTCTGGTGGCTCATATCTGTAACCCTAGCTATTCAGGAGCCTGAGATCTGAGGATCACAGTTCAAGGCCATCTCAGGCAGGAAAATCCCTGACTCTTACCTCCTATTAACCATGGACCCCCCCAAAAATGAAAGTGGAGCTGTGGCTCAAGTGGTAGAGTTTTAACTTTGAGCAGATAAAGCTCAGGGACCAGTGCCCAGGCCCTGAGTTCAAGCTCTTTCAGTGTTTGTTGCTACCTGAGCCAGGGATAGGAAAGCATGTGTCATCAACTTGGTTAAGTGTTGAGCAAATAGATTCCTAAATAAAACCCCTATGGAAAGGTCCTGTGTTCCTCAGATTTCTACATGTTGCTCTTTTAATCTGCCTGTGTTCAAATAATTATGAAGGAATTTTCTACCCTGTTGCTCATCAACGGGAGATGGCTCAACAGTTAGCTACATGCTTGAATTGCCACCAAAAGGGAACAAACCAAGCATAGACTTTGGATAAAGAGGTTTCCAGCTGGAACTGATGGCCAGGAAGATAAATAAGTGATCAGAGTTACAGGCAATGCATGCATGCATCCATCCATGTGCATCCGGAAGGAAAAGCCTAGAACCATCCATGGTAGAATGTTCATGACTCCTGCAACAGCACCTTCCTCCTGCACAGTTGGGGAAAGCATGTGGTGTACACTCGGTGTCCCCTGACACAAGAAACAAAAGACTGCAGACCATGGTGTCCTGGATAGATGGACCTCATTCATAGTGTTAGGTCGTTTGTTGTAACCAAACAATTATGATTAGAAAATGAAAAAGAAAAAAGCTTCATGAGAAGAATTCTTTATTTTAGCTCCCAGTGTCAGAGGACTTGGTGTTAGGCTCCAGAGTTTATGGTAAAGCAGAACGTCACTGAAGCAGAAGTGTATGGAGGAGGAGGAGGAGGAGGAGGAGGAGGAGGAGGAGGAGGAGGAAGAGGAGGAGGAGGAGGAGGAGGAAAAAGAGGAAAAGGATGGGGGAAAGGGAGGAGGGGAAGGAAGGAAGGAAGGAAGGAAGGAAGGAAGGAAGGAAGGAAGGAAGGAAGGAAGGAAGGAAGGAAGGGAGGAAGGAAGGAAGAGAGAAAAGAGAGGGAGGGAGGGAGGGGGGAGGGAGGGAGGGAGGGAGGGAGGGAGGCAGGGAGGGAGGGATCAGGATGAATAAGAGAGAAGGAGAAGGAGAAGGAGAGAGAAAGGCCAGGGCAAGATACATCCCAACAGTACTTTCAGAAACCTATTCCTACTTCCTCCAACTAAAGTTCCCAGCCCCTCCCACAATGGCGCCCCTACCTGGAGACCTAGTCTTCTGAACATTTTGTATTCAAACCAGAACCTTAGAAGTAAGTGTGAACTTGAGTCCAAGGATTCTGTGGGTTGGCTGGGAGCAGCAGCCTGGGCCAGCCCCCAGGACACAGAATGAAGGGGCCTAGGATTCTTAGAAGGCTCCAGAAAGAGAGGATCAGAATAGGAAGAGCCTAGGAACTAGGCAAGCCATCTGTGTAAACTGACCACGAAAAATTTACCTTTGGGGGCTGGGAAGGTGGCTCAGTGGTAGAGTGCTTGCCTTGCATGCCTGAGGCCCTGGGTTCAATTCCTCAGCACCATATAAGCAAAAAGAAAAAAGCTGGAAGTGGCACTGTGGCTCAAGTGGTAGAGCGCTAGCTTGAGCTGAAGAGCTGAGGGACAGCGCCCAGGCCCAGAGTTCAGGCCCCACGACCAGACGCCCCCCAAAAAAATTTACCTTCAAACTGACCACTGAGTCACACTCAAATGAGCAAAAAGATGGACTGAGGAACTCCCAGAATGTCATATTAACTAAATGTAATATGTGATTCTGGATCAGATCTGACATCAGAAAACAATTTCTGAAAAGGACATTATTGGTTTTGTTGGGAGAAAAACTGAGCCGGTCAAGCATATTGTCTATGTAAGTGTTGTATTTCCTAATTGTGGCTATAGAAGGGAAAATTTTGTATTTCTGGAGACAAATACTGAAGTATTTGATGCGTTAGCAGACATGATTTGTGCAAATTACTCTTCAATGGTCAGGAAATATATTCTTCATTGATTAGCAAAAATAAATCTATCTGGCCAGGTGCTGGTGGCTCACACCTGTAATCCTAGCTGCTTGGAGGCTACCAGGGCAGTAAAGTCCCCATGAGACTTTTACCTCCAATTAATCACTCAAAAACTGGAAGTGGAGCTGTGGCTCAAAGAAGTAGAGAGCTAGCCTTAAGAGCAGGAGCTCAGGGATAGTGCTTAGACCCTGAATTAAAAAAGTGTATTTGCAATGTCTGTTATATAACAAACATATACATAGGCAAAAAGAGTCAATGAAGCTAAATGAAGAGTATATGAAAATCATTGTCCTGTTTTTGTAACTTTAGGGATTTTTTTTAAAAAATAAGGTTTAGAAATGCAAGTTAATTTGTGACCAGATGTGGTGACATATACCTGTAGTATCAGCTCCTTGAGAGGCTGGGCACAAAGATCATATGAGCTCAGGAGTTCAAGGCTTACCCAGACATCAGAGGAAAAACTCATTTAAAAGAAGCCTATGAATTTT